CACTGGAGAACGAGCGGCCCCCCAGGCCCCCCGCCCCGCGCTCCCCTCCGCGCAGAAGCCCCCTGCCCTGCGCCCCGCACTCCCGTCCGCACCTCGGATTTGGTAGGCGCCGTCGCTGAAGCTCAGATGGAAGACCTCGTAGACGGAGCGGTTGGTGTCCAGCTGGTTGGAGCCACGGCGGTGGCAGATGAAGCCGTCCAGGCCCCGCAGCACGAGGATGGGCCGGTTGATGAGCTTGAGAGTGAACTCCTCGTCCTCACCTGGCGGGGCGTAGGGGCTGAGGGGCCGCTGCCTGCCCACTGCCTTCTGGTGCCTTCCGGGGATGGGTGGGGCCCGGGGGCAGAGGGGGCCCATATCTGCCCTTGCCGTGGCCTCCTGTGACCTTGGCAAGAGGCCTGCTGCCACCAAGCCCCAGGTTCCCCAAATATACAGTGGAGACAAGCAAGTTCTGGGCTGTGACTGCTCCTTGATGTCCACAGTGATTATCTTGACCAGCAAGTGTGACTCATGCCAAGGGCCACCTGGGCAGTTGTACAGGGAGGAGGGGCTGATTCTTAGGTGACAGGGGTCTGTGGGCAGAGGGCCCGGCCCCAGTTCCCTGGAACTGGTGAGGAGTGCTCACCCACAAAGTCGCTGGTGGCCGCCAGCTGTCCATTCTTCTTCATGCACACATAGCGCCCGTTACTGGCCTTGAGGGCCACCCGCCGGCCACGCCACTCCACCTCAAACATGGTGTTGGCAGAACTGGGAAGGTCAGGGTAAAGTCCCCTCAGAGCAGCAAGACGTGGGGGAGCTCAGGGTCAGGCTTTCTCATCCCCCTCAGGCCCAGCACCAACCCCCAGGGGGAGAAGTGGGTACCTGCCTTCCACTGACACACCCACCACCATTAAGAGCCGCCCCTCACCCCAGTGGGCATTCTTTCTTGGCTGGGCTGCTACAGTGGTCCTCATGGTGGAGGTGCTGGTGCAGATGGAGGTGATGAGGAGGTGGCGGTGGTGGTGGTCGTGGAGGTGATGGTGGTGATGGTGGAGATG